ATGGATGGAGCTGGAAGATATTCTTCTTAGCAAAGTATCTCAAGAATGGAAGAAAAAATATCTAATGTACTCAGCCCTAATATGAAATCAATTTGTTTTTTTTTAATTTTTTAAATTTATTTTTAATTAAAAAGCATAACTATATACATTTATAGGGTACAATGTGATGATTTGATATACAAGGTGGAATATTTAAATCAAACTGATCAACATCACCATCATCTCACTTATTTTTTGTGATAAGTTATTTTGAAACATAGACTTGCATTGTGCACATTAGGTGAGATCCCACCAAATGCCCTCCTTCCTCTAACCAATTTCCCTCCCCCCTCCTCTCCCCTCATGTTCCTCACCCTCCCCCTTGCTAGACTATATTTGTGTTTTACCATTCATATGAGTGTGTAAGTGTTTATATATTGGTATATATTAGTTTCATAATTTTATTGAATACATTGAATACTTTTTTCCCCACTCTTGAGATATTTTTCTAAGAAGAACATATTCCAACTCCATCCAGGTAAACGTAAAAGATGTAAACTCTCCATCATTTTTATGGCTGAATAATATTATATAGTATACATACACCACAATTTGTTGATCCATTCATGGGTTGATGGGCATTTGGGTTGCTTCCATGACCTGGCAATTATAAACATTCTGGTGCAAATGTCTTTATGGTAAAATGATTTGTATTCTTCTGGGTAGGTACCTAGTAATGGAATTGCAGGATCAAATGGAAGGTCGACTTTTAGTTCCTTAAGAATTCTTCATACTTCTTTCCATAAAGGCTGTATCAGTTTGCAATCCCACCAGCAGTATAGAAGTATTCCCTTCTCTCCACATCTATACCAGCATCTGCATTTGGGGGACTTTGTGATGTGGGCTAATCTTACTAGAGTTAGGCGATATCTCAAAGTGGTTTTGATTTGCATTTCTCTGTTGATTAGACAATGAGCATTTTTTCATGTTTTTTGGCCATTTATCTGTCATCTTTAGAGGAGTTTCTATTCAAGTCTCTTGCCCACATAGAGATGGGGTTGTTTGCTCTTTTATTATTGATTAATTTGAGTTCTCTGTAGATTCTAGTTATCAGATCTTTGTCATATTCATAACCTGCAAAAATCTTCTCCCATTCCAAAGGCTGTTTTTTTTCTTCAGTTGTAGTACCCTTAGCTATGCAGAAGCTTTTTAGCTTGATCAAATCCCAGTTATTTATTTTTGGTGTTGCTGTAATTGCCAGGATCGGAGCGGGGGGGGGGTCTTCCTCATAAAATATTTTCCCAGGCAATATTTTCAAGCATTTTTTTCCACACTCTCTTCTAGAATTTTTGTTTCATGTCTTAGATCCAAATCTTTTATCCAGTGACAATCAATTTTTCTCAATGGTGAGAGGTGAGAGTCCAGTTTCAGTCTTCCATAAGTGGCTAAAAAGTTGCTAACAAGTTCTCCCAGAACCATTTGTTAAATAGGGATTCTTTTCCCCAGTGCATGTTTTTGTTAGGCTTATCAAAGATCAAATTATGATATGTGGCTAGGTCTAGATTCTCTATTGTATTCCATATATTTATATCACTATTTTTGTGCCAGTACTATGCTATTTTGATCACTATGGATTTGTAGTGTAACCTGAAGTCTGGTAATATGGTGCCTCCAGATTTATTTTTATTTCTAAGACTTTTATTGGCTATTCGGGTTTTTTTCTGATTTCATGTAAAACAAAGTACTCTTTTTTCAAGTTCTTTAAAGTATGACATTGGTACATTGATAGGGATTGCATTAAATCTGTAGATTGCTTTGGGTAGTATGGACATTTTAACAATGTTGATGCCATACCCAATCATGAGCATGATATTTTCTTCCATTTGTTAACATCTTTTGCTATTTCTTTTCTCAGGGCTTCATAGTTCTCTTTATAGAGATATTTCAGTCCTTTGTTAGATATATTCCCAGATATTTCATCTTCTTTGTCACCACTGTAAAAGGAATAGAGTCTTTTTTTTTTTTTTTTTTTAGACAGAGCCTCAAGCTGTCACCCTGGGTAGAGTGCCATGGCATCACACTCACAGCAACCTCCAACTCCTGGGCTCAAGTGATTCTCTTGCCTCAGCCTCCTAAGTAGCTGGGACTACAGGCGCCCACCACAACACCTGGCTACTTTTTGGTTGCAGCTGTCATTGTTGTTTGGAGGGCCCAGGCTGGATTCTAACCCACCAGCTCAGGTGTATGTGGCTGGCGCCTTGGCCACTTGAGAGTCTTTGATTATCTTCTGTTATCTTTGATTATACAGACTGTTGTTGGCATATATGAAGGCTACAGATTTGTAGATACCAATTTTGTATCCTGAGACACTGATGTATTCCTTGATCACTTCTAAGAGCTTTGTAGTTGAGTCCCTGGGGTTTTCCAGGTATGAAATATCATCCATGGAGAGTGAGAGTTTGATGTCCTCTGTCCCCTTTTGAAAACACTTGACCTTCTTCTGCTGCCTGCTTGTGATGGCTAGGACTTCCAGTACTATGTTGAATAGTAGCAGTGACAGTGGGTATCCTTGTCTAGTTCCAGATCAGAGTGGAAATGCTTTCAGTTTTACTCCCTTCAATATTATATTGGCTGTGGGTTTGCTGTAGATGGCCTCTATCAGCTTTAAGAAATGTCCCACCTAAGCCTATTTTCTTAAGTGTTCTAATCATGAAAGGGTACTGGATATTATCAACTGAAAAAATGATATGGTCTTTGTATTTGATTTTATTTATGGGATGAATTATATTCATGGATTTATGTATGTTGAACCAACATTGTAACCCTGGGATAAAATCAACTTGTGAAGGTACAGCTGGATGTGTTAGAGGCAGGGAGCTAATTATAGTGGCCTTCACACATGCAGCACCTGTTCACCAGTAGAGGGCAATGTGGAGAAAGAAATCAGTGAAAAGGGGAGGAAGTGTGGCCGTGAAGGTTATGTGGGATAGAGATATTCCAAAACCCAGTCCTAGAACTAACAATATGTTTAAAAGATTTTCTGACTAACCATTCAATGGAGTTAACCAAAAACTACAATAGACCCTCCATAGTTGACCACCTCCTTAAATTGACCTCATTTTCTTTCTTTTTTTTTTTTTTTTGTCCAGGGCTGGGTTTGAACACCTCTGGCATATGGGGCTGGTGCCCTACAATTTTGAGCCACAGGCACCGCCCAAGTTGACCTCATTTTCATACAGTAGACATAGTTCCTTATGTTGACCACCTCTGTATGTTGGTCAGTTTGTTATGGTCCCTTGGGTGGTAAAACTGCAGAGGTTCTAATGTAGATCAGAAGCCTTCAAAAATTGGGAGTTGCATTACCTCTGAAACCATAGGCTGGCCAAAACCGGCTATGACTGCACACCCCAACAGTGGTTCTCAAACATGGCTGTGCATTAATATCATCTGGGGAGTTTTAAAACTGCTGACATCAGGCCTCACCTATATCTAATTAAATTTTTAACTTTGGTGGTAAGGCCCTGCTGGCATTGGAGTTTTTGAAAGCTCCCCCAAGTGATCCCAAATGTGACTTCAGGGTTGAGAAACACTGCTCAATACTTAAGCCAATCTGTAGGCTCCCTTCTCAAGTGGGAACAGACCCTTCATAAGAAGTAGTTTTCATTCCTAGCAGACTTGCCAGATGCGATACAGGATGTCGGGCTAAATTTGAGTTTCAGTGCAACACAATTATTTTTTGCATAAGTATGTCCCAAATATTGCATAGATCATACTTATACTAAAAATGGTATTTATTCTGTATTCCTATTTGCTAACTCTGACCACTCTAGCCTCCGAGATAGCCATGGAAAATATTATCCCTAAAAACAGAGCAGAGAACAACAGAGAATATGACCAAGGCTTTCAGCTAACTGCCAAGTGGGCGTCCTTGATAAACTGTGGGCAAGATTTGCTAGATTGTGACTAATATGGGCACTTAGCACAAAGCCCAGCGCTCAGTAAACTCTTAGCAAAAATTAGTCATCAGTCTGAGGGAAGCTTCATTTATGAAAATGAACTTATGTGCATAAACATACATCCCAGTTGGCATCACCTTGGGATGCAGAAAAGTAGAAAATCTTCCAGTCGTGTGTCCATTGTCATCTGGTTCATAAAATAATAAAGTCAATAATTTCAACTGTCCAGGAAAGTATCTTCAGGGAAGCATCTGGTGTGGCTTCAGTAGTGCTCTGTCCCTTTCTTGTGGTTTCTGCCCTTTTTCAGGTTTCTCTTCCCTCCTCCCAGTATTCCTGTCAGTATATGATTCTGATAAATTGGGAAAACAAAATCAATAGAACCAGTCATCACAAGGAAAATGCCAATTTACCTTTCATATAACAGCCTTCAGGCTTGGAGCCCATAGCTCAGTGAGTAGGGCTCCAGCCACATACATTGAAGCTGGCGGGTTCAACCCCTGCCTGGGTCTGCTAAACAACAATGACAACTGCAACCAAAACATAGTTGAGCACTGTGGCAGGTGCCTGTAGTCCCAGCTACTCAAGAGGCTGAGACAAGAGAATTGCTTAAGCCCAAGAGTTTGAGGTTGCTGTGAGCTGTGATGCTATAGCACTCTACTAAGTGTGACATAGTGAGACTCTGTCTAAAACAAACAAACAAAAAGAGCCATCAATATTTTAAAACGTAGTGCTGGGCAAAACCATTTAATAAGCGTTTGTCACTTGCTATATATGGTACCGTTTCTGCTGAGAGCACTAATCACACTCATCCATCCACATGGATGGGAAAAGGGAGAGATGGTGAAGAGGATGTTGTGAGATGTCAGAGAAAATACTCAAGATTAAATATGATACACAAACTATAATAAAACTGAAGTTAAGGAGGGCCCCAGCATGTGGCAGGGCATGGGATGGGGACCCACAGAAGAGGTGGCTGCCAAGGTTGTAAGATCACTGCCTGGCTCGGGCCCCTGCTCCCCAGCAGGCCCACTGAGGTCACTGGGTTCCTCACTGCTCCTGGGCCACTCAGGCATTTGGCTCCAGATTGGTGACGTGCTCCTGGACCCAGGCCTCACTGGGGTCAGCACAGACCAGCCGGCCTCTCTTGGTTAGGAAGCTGTGGAGCAGGGTGGACGGATTAAGCACAGAGGAACCCAGCAGGGAAACCCTGTGGCCCCACCATCCTTCTCTGCCTCAGACATCTCAGGGCCTATTCATGTGTTCATGAAATTTCCCCTTAACCTTGGGATTCACACACCTTCCCCGAGTGCCTCAGATGGGGGTTCATCAGAGCATCAGCTTCCTGTTGTTCCTTCCCCTCTCTTTCCACTGCCTCAGGGCAAGTCCTTCCTGACTCTGCAGGCCCTAGGCCAGCTCACAAAATACTTCAAGGACCTCCCTAGAGTCCTGCACCCCAAAGGGCCTAAGAAACTGAGCACTCTGAGGGGACGTCACCCTAGGCCTTCTGGCCTCTCTCTCTGGCAGGAAAACCGGCCACTAAGACATGACAGCCGGCTTGGAGCACTGGCTGCTGCTCTCATGATAGTCATCCACAAATTTGAGCGGAATCTGCTGGGAGATATAGGAGAAGAAGCAGGCTGTTGGGGTGTTAGCACCAACTGTGAGAAAGATCTCAAGGCACTGCTCAGAAGAAAAGTTGAGCTAACTACTGGTGATCCCTCTCCTCCAGAGTCAGCAAGAGCCGGAAGGAGACAGCACTGCCCACAGTGGGAACAATGGGATCCAAAAGAAAACTGGCGTTTCTTCTTTGCCTTGACATTTTTATTTCTGTATCTTTCTCTCATTTGATGTTTCTCCTTCTCTGTCTTGGTTCTGGACCTCTATGTCTCTCTATAGGGAATTTAGTTTTCTGAACAAATTCCTTCTTATCCTCCTCTTCTTGGGCAGTTCCATCTGGAATTCATGAGGAGAGCCAAGGCCACATCACTCAGACTCAGATTCCATCAACTGGACCCAGATTCTATCTCTTGCCCTTGGAGTTGGGCCTCCACTTTCTCATCCATAGACTGAGACTCACTCTCCCTCTGTCTCCCAGAGTGAGAGAAAAGAATTGCTAGAACCCCCTTAGGAAGACAAATTCCTGAAGTTCTTTTCCACTCGGAAGGTGTTGGGCACAGACTTTGGCCTGGTGGTCCAAGCAAGGCCAGAGAGTAGCGGCATGAGAGCAAAAGACAGACTCACATGAGGCAGACCAGGCCTGGGGGCAGAGGGCCTCTGTGAAGAACAGGACAGCAAGGGCAGCAATAGGCACCTCCATGATGCTGGACAGAGTGTGAGCCCAAGTGGTGGCCTAGTAGAGGCCAACTTGAGGGCTTGCAGCTACTACCTCCTTCTAGGGTCTCAAGCCCTCTCTCCTCTTTATAAGAAGTCTTGGCATATTAGATAAACTTGGGACTGAGGGGGGAAATTTTTAATCATCATTTGGATGTCACACTGTGTTGCACAGACCAGGAGTCATCACACGGGTTTAGTCTATTTCCAAGAAGGGTTCAGTTGATTACTTGGTAGGGAAATGGTTTCCACGGTGAGAAGAGGTGAGATGATGGTGTTACCCCAAGATTGGGTTAGCTGATGCCTCTTCACAAGAGCAGATCTGTAGATAAAACATTTCTCCCACAGAGCTGAACCTTCTGATATCCTCCCCACTTGCTCCAACAGCATAGATGTGCCACTGATGTTAACGCCACAGAGTCGTGAGAAGGGCAACCCAAGATTAAACCATGTCCTGGATGGAGACGGGAGATGGGGAGGCCGCAGCTACAGGAGGGGCAAGGTTGAGGTGGGCCTTTCAGACATTGACTCATCCCTGGGTTATCTGGAGGCTGCTATGAATGATGAGCCTTAAAGTGTTGCTACCCTTTAATCAGCAAAGCACTCTGCCAGGGATCCAGGCTGCCAATAGAAACACAAAGATGAAGAAAGTGTTTTTCCCAGCTTATTTGTAATAATTAAAAGATAACCCATCATTAAATAAGCCATGGCATATTCACCTCTTATAATAACACTTAGCATTTAAAACTGAGAAAGTAAAGACATTTTAAAAGGACACTCTCATCCCTCAAAACTCCTAGAATATTTCCTGTTTCCTTGTTGTAAAGTCAAGGTGGCCATTCCCAGTTTGTTGGGCAGCCCAATAATGTTATACAGAACTCAGGCTTCTTCTTCTTCTTTTTGGTGAGACAGAGTCTCACTCTGTTGCCCAGGCTACAGTGCTGTGGCCTCAGCTTAGCTGACTGCAGCCTCAAACTCTTGGGTTCAGGCACTCTTCTTGCCTCAGCCTCCAGAGCAGCTGGGACTATAGGTGCCCATCACAATGCCTGAATAATTTTTTTATTTTTGGTAGAGACAGGGTCTTGCTTTTGATCTGGCTGGTGTCCAACTCCTGACCTCAAGGGATCCATCCATTTCCAGCCTCCCAGATTGCTAGGACTATAGATGTGAGCCACTGCATCTGGCCAAGAACTCAGGCTTCTTAAAACATCTCCCCTTTCCCCTTCATGTCATTGGCTTTTCTTCTTTGGTGTTGCCACCTCATGGTCACAAGATGGCTGCTGCTTCTCAGTCATCACATCATCACAACATCTCATCCACAGGCATGGGGTGGTCTCATAGGAATACAGAAAGAACAATATTACTAGTGTTTTTTATTCAAATTACTTTTACATGGCTTAAATGTGAAATATAGATTACACCCATAAGTAGTAAAAGTTATTGTTAAAAATATATAAAATACAGAAAAGAATAAAAGCTAATTTATGTATGTAAATTAGATAGGCAACAGGGCAAATGTGAGTAAGGATGTGGGATTTTTCCTCTATGTTCTTACTTTCCTACTGTGGCATACACGAATTCTGAGGCATAATCTGAGTAAAAAAATTTTCCTGGAAGATAAGAAAAATTCTATTAGCCAAACCTTACCACTTTTTAACTGTTTAGTTTATTTCCTTCAAGGAAAATTTTTTTCTAGGCTTATGATAATTTTGTTTGCCTCTTGCTTTTT